TAGTATTAAGCAAAACAACAAAAAATAATAATAATGTCACACAAAAATATTTAGCCTTTTAACATGGCAGCACTGTGTACATTGCAAGGCAAGGCGCTTGGGGCAATTKACGTTTCAAATTAGGCTACAAACTAATATTTTTATTTGTCCAAACATTGCTTTAAAGTTTCATATGAATTCACGCTTTATTCTGCATATGAATGAATAAATGTATAGAAATCCTATTAAAATAAATGTTTATTGCCTTGCCTCGGCTGAAAATCAAATAAATTTGTGAATAAATAAATTTACCTATCCATGCGCAAATATGCATACATGTGTGTGTATGTGTGCATATTAAAGCTCACCTACGCCTCTAAGCTGCGCAGCCGAGAGCGAATTGCATATCAAAATACCGACGTGTTTATGTTTACTCAAGTCCATGTATGTGTGTGCGTTTCAAGCGTATTTGTGTGGGAATTTGCGTGTGTATTTGTGTAAGCTTTAAACGTATTATTCGTTTGTAAATGGAAAATATTGGCAAATACTGAAAAATGCACGAACCAGATTTGACTATGTTCGGCGCATAAACGCCGCTGAAAGCGCTCAAATTTAGCTTGAATTTTTCGATTTGGCTTCTGTAACTTCCTTGCTTCTTGCCTGCTAACATATTATTCACTATTTTCTATTTTCTGTTCTCTATTTTATTTAATTTTTTTATATTTGATTTCATTTCATTTTTATTTGTGCGCAAATCTTTAATGGAAATTTCATTCAAGTCATGTGATGATTTCACTACTTTGCTGGCATGTAGAGATTTCGGTTTTCTCGCAYTGCATATGGCTTTGTGTGAATGAGTGCGTAAGCATGTGTCGCTGCTTTTGCGCTCGTTCGTAGGTGAAGTTATTCGCAGGGTCATAAGGCAGTTAGGCAAGTACGTGCCGTTCGTGACTGCGAAACTAAAATGCTGTCAAATATTGGCGCAAAGAATAGAGATATCCATATTAAATAACAATATGCAACTGAATAGRGAATGGAGCGCTCTGAAAGTGTGCACTTGCGATGCTTGTTGAGAATTTGTGTTTAATTTTTAATAATTTTTTAATAAATTTGTGAGACAGATTTGGGCAGAGAATAAAGTTTGTGTGAACTTATATTATAACTTTTATTTTAGATACGACCGAATCAGCGAAAAGCAGAGTGGTATACCTAAGAGAAGTCCGAGGCTTGCTGAATTRCGGGTGTTCCAAGTAGAAGTAGTTTTTTTTTTTTGCTTTTTTTGACAGATAACGCATGAGTTGTGTCAAKCTGTCATATTATTTTCTTTAGTATTGTTTGGCATTTCTTCACGGAAAGACTTACGCCTACAAAATATTTTAAATTCGTTCAATTTTATTACGAAAATTCACATTCTGCAAAGAGTCCGTGAAGAGTCGATTCGGCGCAMCTCGCAMCGASGTATGGAMGGACTTGGCGTATTTTACGATCACACTTGGACCAAGATGATCCTGAGATAGCRCATGAACTGATGGTATCGCAGTGCTCGCTGTGCTCCCGCTAAGCCCAGATATTCAGCAGTGTAGAACATACGAGGCGAGTGGAGCACTGATCTGTTTCTGCAAGTATTCTATGGTAATGATAGCGGGCCGAGGGTGTCTTTCCTTGCTAACTCATCAGGGMGACAGTTACATTCGGTTTTTCTGTGGCCTAACACCACACAAATGGCACTGAGTCTCATCAAAATATAACTTCATGCGATTGATATCGAGGTTCCTTAATCTTTCGTGTATTCTTTTGGAATATATTTTTTGTTTTATCGAGTTTTGTTGGTCCTTCTGAAGATTAGCTGTGGGATTTAGGGAATCCAAAATGTTACAATAAATTCTTCATATTGATGTGTTTTTTTTTTTCTTGCAAATGAACCAATTTAGCTTGATCTAGGATGTCTCTTTGGAGAGCATGATAGATCAATCAAGTTTTCAAAAAGTTTCAATGCATGTTTACAATGAAAATAGTGAGGAGTCTGCACAAAGAGATTTCCGTTTACCCGTGTTTTTCTCTAGCCGTCCTCCACCCGTGTTTTTCTGTGGTTTAGCTTTTTTGTGTGTCAGAAATGTTTTAAAAATCATTTGTAGTAGAAGAAGAGAAATAGCTCGAAGTAAGCCATAATCTACTGCTTCGYGAACATACACGAAAAATCTTCACGAAATATATAGATCTTTGGCTGATGGACGTTTAAAGGAACGGTTTTAGGCCACTGGAAAAATATTTTTGGGAATATYTCGAAAAGGGTTATAAATGAAAATATATACTGAATGAAAATACCATGGAGAAGTATCTGGTCTCCATAATTTTGTTAAATAATCACATAATACAGCATTGTTTTAGACAAACTTCAGTTTGTCGCCAATAAATTARGAATATGTGGTGTGCGACTTTGCTAAAATATGATTCCACTGACGTATTGATCCTAAAGGTAGGCAACCCTTCTGCTTTCCTTTATTCATTATKTTTTATTTAGAATTTTTCTGCATGAGTGGATAACAATAGAATAGCATGACTTAAACAACTAAAATTTCGCACAAGTATAAAAGGGAATAAAGAAGCCGAAATATTTCTAAACGAGTTTGTGAAATATACCGCATCAATTACTTCAGTAAAAGAAAATTTGATGTATTTTCTTTTAGCAAGACTACAGCGTAATCTACCTAACACCACAATCTAGCGCTGCAATATTTGATTTCATTTACTTTAAGTTTTATATATTCTCAAAAAAACAGCTTTAATAAGGAATGGAATATGTATAGATGCAAGAGTATGTGACTGATTGAGCTAGATGATAGCATAGCCATTGATGATACTGATAGTGAAAGCAATATCTCTAATGGATAATACTACTCGACGCCTGTCTTATTTATTGGGTTTTCTTCTGCACTGTTGTAGGTTTGTATGCTACGCTACGGATACAAGCAAATATGCTCGTTGATATACAAGTATACACATATAAATATATACATACATACACATAGCAAGGTATGTATATGCATGAATACACGCTCTTTTAATGCACTCACCTGACATGGCGCCTGGAAGAGATACGCATCACCGAATGCTGTACTCAAACAGAATATATAATCACGTTTGGGATGCTCCGGTATTGGTTGCATAATCGCACCATCAACAATAATTAAATGCTTTGGTGCCGCTTCAACGCTACGACCCTCGCGTGAATCGCACGGATAGAAGAGTAGTGTGGTGCCTTTGAGGCAAACCCAATAGCCTTTCCAGCCTCGTTTGCGTGCCAATTCGATTTGATGCTTTTTGCGGAGTAGCCATTTTTTCACCGATAAGAAACTGAAATTTATATAAAATTTACATTTAGAGACTTAACTAAATGTGGATATTATAATTGAAATTATTGTAAAATTGTCTAGTATACATTCAGGCGCAAGCAAAATATTTTCTTTAAGGGGTTACATGGGTTTGCAGAGTTCAAAAAAGGATTCTTTTATTGTCTTATTAAATTCTACAGCACCTCCAGAATATTGTAGTAAATTAATACCAGTAAGAGATACAGCCTTGAGAACTTATGYCCTTGAGGCTAGCTAGGTTAAGTACGCTTTTTCACACACAGTTTCGTGTTTTATAAGTGGAAAAATTTCCCAAGAACTACTTAACTGATCTTTATGCAATTTCATACAGGTCTTTGAGGTACATTTCTTAAAGACTTGGACGAAGAATTTTTTCCGATTAGAACTATATTAAGCTAATTTCAGCTTCGTCCAAGTTCTAAGTTAAGGTTTTAACTAAAACACGTATTTTTCACTTTAGATGATCCTATTAGGGGTTATTCTGGCAAAGCGGACGCATCTTTTTTCCGAGGGGTCACCGGGAATGGCGTCGCAAGGGCCGACTTTAAAATATTTTTTCCAAATTTCCAGAATTTCTTTATAATAGTGTGTGTTTGAAACAGAAAAAAATCTAAAACAATACTTAATTTTTTGTTTGAGAAAAAACATTGTTGAAAAAAAAAACTGTTTTTTTCCCGAGGAAACCCATGTAACCCCTTAAGCTRAATAKAATTATATTRGTTGATAATGTCATTAMTGGGAGCATTTTTGTAGGAATCGTATTTATTAATTTTTCTAAGTAAAAGTCTACAAATGTGACATCACTTAAACAGACAGCTGTATGAATTTTGGTTTGGGAATCAGCTTAGCAGAGACCCRTACCATAATTACAATAATTTGTTACAGACGACAAGTTTTCCTTTTTTAAATGAAATAAATATTTATAAATCTTCTAACTGTCATATTAGATTGAGATTATTTAGCTTTTCTTTTAATGCGTTTCTTCCATATTTTAATCTTATTAAGAATAGGACTCACCCGGCTTTGCGTACAGCGCCAGTACAGTTGAATGAGGAAGCAGCAGTTCCAGTTGCCTTTGCTTTATATGGTGACGCCATGACACTTTCGCCATCATCTTCATCAGATACGGCTGTAGTTAAGCTCATTCGATCATCATCAGATATCTGTTAAATGAAAAGCATATACATTAATTAATAGATATGTTGAGCAGTAATAAAGGAATTTCGAATAAATAAGAAWTTTTTTCCTTTTCGTAATGCTTCAAAATAGTTTCATTGATGGAACGACTATGTTAGAAGGGCTTATAATTAGGTTTGATATTCCAAATGCGAACATGGTGGCAATTAAGTATTGTTCGACACTTCTGTATTTCTATTCTGTAAATAAAGCCAACACAAAAAAAATTTGATTTGCCCTACTTCAAATAAATATATTTTACATTGTATTAGGAGGTTAATCGACTTAGTCATTTCAAAAAATCGATTTTTGTATCAAGTGAACTATAATGAACYATAGTTAGAGGATAACTATTTGAACTATATCCTGACTATAGTTAGAGGATATGTGGGTATTTGTAAGAAAATTGTAACTTGGTGTATTAAGCTCCCAAAAATTTCAAACACCTTTTGTCAAAGAGCTATTTGCAAAATTAGCAAAGTCGGTAAGGAAAATTTCTCCAAAACGGATGGACCGATTGAACTGCAAATCTCACACGCCTTTTTGTTTTTTTGATATATTTAGTAAGAGGCGAAAGATTTATTTAATAACTGAAACTGACTTCTCAAGGATGTGTTTTTTCTTCGCTTTTATGGTTGGTGGTGCTGAATGGAAGACTACTTCAATGGAGGGAGGAGGGAAAACAATTGTATATACAGAAAATATAATTTTGATGGTCCCAGGGATGGTTCTTTCCACAATCAGTGAGATTAAGGAAAGTGCTCTACGAAAGTTAATGCTTTTKATGAGTAAAACAAATATATATGAATTTAATCTTCCCTCACTTAGTAGTACAAAAATTTCTGTGCAAAATACTTAAGGGCTGAAATCAATATCAAACTTACCAAACTGAATTTTTAGGTATACTTCAATAAACGCAATACCTCTATTACTATCCGTWTACCAAATTTAGCCAGGATCTACCATGTGAAAGTACTAAATATAAAGAAAGTCTCTGAAGTTAGATTGAATAACTATGGGAGGATGCTGAAAAAACTATATAAACTCATAGCCAGTCCGTCTAACTGGCTTTGTCGATACCACAGTTTGAGTACAGCATCGCCAATAACTGCAGGAAACCTTACAGTTCACTAACAGGTCAACTCCACTACTCCATGATTTCGGTTACCGGTCACAGGAACAATTACGGGAACGAAAAGGAAAACGAGTTGACAAAGCTAAAATCTTMTTTACACGAAACCAAGACGGACTCAATCTCAACAAATCTCCTATTGTAGAAAATTATAGTCTTAATTAATAGCTCATTGTGTCAAAAATCCGACTAGGCATTCATCACAGTAATAAGAATTTTTTTTGTATTGTTTTATATAATTTTTAGTAAAAATCTTCTGCGCCCTTAGACAATAATTTTTTGAAGTTTCTTGTAGAGATCGGATACGCGCTCAAGGATGTCAAAAATGTTTCAAAATAGTTCACCGATTCTTAAAGTTCATAAAATTTTGTAAATTTACATTATTTTTTATTAATTTATTCAACTAGATGTCTTTTGAGAAAAAATTCCCAAACAAGTGTTTTTCTGACTTCCAAATGTACACACAGCAGCATACATTTAAATTCAATTATATTGAAATTAATTTAATAAAAAATCATAAACAGACAAGTTATTAGTTTTAGAAATATTAATTAATTCAATAAATGTGAATAAAGCCACATTAAAACTGTAATTTCATTAAATACTCTCGCATGCCATTTTCAGCAGCAGTTTATTTACATAACCAAATGAGTATGCAATAAAAACGAGAAATAGCAGACCAACAAAACGTCAGTGACATTTATTGATGCTTGTGGTTGCGCAGTAAAATTCACTAATTATAAAACAGATGGGTGATAAATTGAATTTAATTATGCTGCATAGTGCTATGGCGATCATGGCGAGCAGACGACGAATGCAACATGAGGTGAAATTAGTTGAGCTGCAATAACAACAAAAAGCGCTATGGGTTGATTTTCAACGCGTTGATGGTATAACATATCGAAATTTTCATTAGCTTATGCAGTCGGATATGTGCTTGCAAAGGCTTTACGCCCACTCAACCAGCTGCTCAGTATGGTTACGTATACGCCATAGGGCACGCATGTGAATCGTGGTGTAGAAAAATCGCGTGTATGAAGTCGCTTTTGAGCTTGCAGGCGGGTGTGTGAGTATTTAGAAAGAGTGAAAAAACTCACTTTGTAATGCTGACTTGCTGTTTTTTTTATTATTTTTCTTTTGTGTATTTTTTGCTAATAAAAAGTTTACATCACCAGCTACTCATTCGTATTTCATCAACTGCAACTTTCGTCTCGTTTTCAAGTGGATTTTCTTTGTGTGTGAATTTTTTATGACTTTTTCTAGCTTAGGACAATTGAGCATTGAGCTGCAAATAAAGTAGACCTTTTTAATGTTAACCTTAAKTTTTTTGTTATTTTTGTTTTTATTTGCTTTTGGAATTAAGTGTAAAAGTTCGAATGAAAATTGCGCTGAAAGGATTGGGTAAATTACACAAAACTATTATGTAATAGATTATTTCTTTGCAGGTATGATTTTTTCAACACATTGTTGATTGAACAGGTATTAGAACAAGAAGGAACTATTTTAAGGAGCTTGTACCAACAAATATTGTCTTGCTTAGACAATTGCGTCGCGGTTTCTGGAAATTGATTTCACCTGCTGCAGACTGACTATTCATATCGGCATTGATTTTCTTTTTTGAAATTTTAACCAATTATACCGAAATATTAAGCTATTGAGTTGAAATTTGAATCCCTCGAGTATTTTTATCCTAATATTATCGTGTTCAAACATGGGCATGATCGAAAGATTTTTACGCCTACTTTCCATAWAACGGTTTTAATTTTTGAATRCTGGCACTCACAAATTYTWAGATATTAGTCCGAAATCAGGTGATACAACTTTTTTTACGTACCCTAGTAATGTGGCCAAAAATGGGTGTGGTCTGCTGAGAGTTACGCCCAGCTGCCAAAATACAAGTAGGTTACTTGGCTGTTGTATGATTTTTTATGGCAGTTTGAACGTTCGATTTGCGATTTTCTAATATTTATGTAAAGTGTTGAAGATCTACTAGCCATATATTTTAAGTTAGTTTTTAGAACCACGTGAGTCTATTGACTAATATTTTSAAATCTTTTGAAATTTAAATCCCTCGAGTATTTTTACCATAACATCATCGTGTCCAAAAATGGCCACGCTCGGATGAAATTTACGCCAATCTCCCATATAACGGTTTTAATTTTTAGTAGTTGGTACCTACAGTTATTAAATTATCGGACTGAAATTTAGGTTTGCAAGAGTTTGTGCACCTTAATAATGCGTTCGAAAGTTGGGACGGTCTAAGGAGTATTACGCTCACATGCCTTACAACTGCGTCAATATATAAAGTTAAAGGTAACAACGCAATACTTCTCAAGCACCAGAAAATCATCTCAACCATCTAAAGAATAAAAATGTTTTCTCCGCTCCTAAAGGTATGCTTCACTCGCTGACTTATACAGTTTAATTTGACTTGTTCGCTGTCTGATTTTGACGCCACTTGTTTTCACAGCGTTATGTCTGGCAATTTAAAACGAAGGAACACAGCGAATTGCTCATAAAACATATCGCTTGCAAATAGCACATGCACCCCGTCCACTTTCTACAAAATAAAAATAGACGCATTCAAATTTTCGAATTTGCACTGGCCGTAAAGCAGAGTGTCAAAGTTTGCGCGCTGCTCATGGCAAATCAAATTTAATTTAACTTTATAGCCATTTTCGAACTTTAGCTCGCTGGCTGCGCCCATYAATGCTGAGCCGACTGCCAACAAGAGTCAAGTTCAGTTTGAGCTGAGTTGCGACGAGTTGATTGCATTTAACTTTTCATAATCAGGTGCGCGTTTGCATCAGCCACCCTCCCTCTTTCGCAATCCAACAGCTGCCTTACGCGTACTCCCACTCACCTCAGCACTCCTGGAGTGTCTGTTGTCATCATGCCGCCAAGCGGTTGTTGTTGTTGTTGTTGCTGTTGTTGGCAGGGCTCCTTTGTGCTGAGAGCTGACTTCAGCAAACCTTTCAACAGAATTGCTGTGCGTGAAGTCGCCATTTTATATGCTTTTATTCCTTATAACTTGTCTGTAAGACAGCGCTCGGCGCGCGCGGTGCTTCCGCACCCTTTTGCAATTTCTCTCAAGTCATCAACTTTGCGCAAATGTCATTGTTACCGGTGTAATTGCAATTGTTACGAAAATAGTGTGCGCGTGCAGCGACGCAGCAAACAGCGGCAGCTGACAAACAGCTATGGAAGGAGACACAGAGAGAGAGAGAGTCGGGTTGGCAGGCAGGCAGTTAACGGCCATCACAAGCACACACACACCCASATATAATACACCTGACATYTACCTTTATATATTCACTYCACCTCCATSCCCCCATCCTTCACTCCCGCTGGTTTTCCAGCTCCAGTTACTGATTTCGTTGTGAATTCGAGTAACGAGCAGAAATCCTTTTCATGTGCTCCAACTTCCGTTTCCGCTAGTTTACTACCAACGCCAACCTCGCTTGCCCCTACCTTGCCKCTGCTGTCAGTCAGCGTTTTTACCACCAGCGCTTCCTATGCCAAGCTACTTGCGCTGGCACATAACTATTAYATAAGAACAACAACAATAACAAAAACAACTATAAAGCCTTTGAGTTAGGCTTATGTTATGGCAAAGTTTTGGCTATTGGTGGCGTGGAAAGGTAGTACGTGTAGTACCTGGAAATGCGATCGCACTTCTATGAGCGTTTTGAAGTCTCGTAATGAGTTCCAAAGTAAAAAAGCAAAAAAGTAAAGCAAAAAAAATAAAAACAAAAACATAAAACCTAAAGCARAGCAAATATTATTACAGAGTTGATTTAAAATTTAGCGAATTTTCAGCAAACAAAAAYATTTTGGCGAGCAGTTACATAAGCG